TATATATATATATATGTGCACTTGCCGAGGTTAAATTTGCATACAACCGGCAAGTGATTTTCTTAAAAGCTCAGCTCGGCTATAAACTGGGATACGAGGCTGATGCTCGGGCTGGTACCGCGCGCGGGCCAAAAGAGACACTGGCAGCCAAGAAGAAAGAAAGGGAGGAAGGATGGCCCAATCCTTTTTTTCCGAGATGTGACATCAGCTCCACATAACCATCACCATAGTCTCATGGAAATTTCATGCAATTTACATTCTACCGCGGCGTGCAAGCCAACAAAGGTACGACCGACCCCTGTGTACACACACACACGTACCTTTATATTATATGGATGCCCGAGCAATTTGGCAAACCGAGAACAAAGGTACATTATAAATATATTTGCGTGTATGTAAAGAGAGGAGAGCCGGTGTACACCTGCCTACCTACCTAACTATATATATATATAACGGAGAGGTGGCCAGTCGCAGGGAGGGAGGGGTCGATGAAGCGAGCCGCGTAATTGCGCGCGTCGCGGCCGAAAAATTTCAATGAAGGAGAGTATCCACACGTAAGTATATATGGCTGTATCTGTGTGTATGTTGAGCAGCTTCCTCCTCCCACTCTTCTCTGCGAGGGGGTAGCTCTCTTCGATCCGCCAGACCTCTACGAGAGGAGGAGGAGGAGGAGGAGTAAGCTGCCCCGGCAAATCGTGTCATCGGCGTCTCTCGCGGGAATATCCGGGTTCTCCTCGGCCGTCAGCTTCCGTATTTCCCTGTTGGTGCTTGCACAACGGCGTCGGCGGGAGAGGAAAAAAAAAAAAACCTATAGGCTACCCTCGCCTCCCCTCTCTCCCTCCCGATCCGCAGTCACACGCACCCCACAGCCGAGTACGGAGGGACTGCACACACACGCTACACCCGGAAGAGCCAAAGAGGGGTCGTTGTCGCCGTGCTGGTCGTACAGCAAAAGGGGGGGGGGTCGAAGCGGGCGCCTGCGCGCCCCTGGACCGCGGGAGCGAGCCGTGGCGCTCAGTCGGAGCCGGTGTCGCGCCCGAGCCGCAACTGCACCCCCCCACCCGCGTGAAACCATCAGGCGGCACTGCCGATGCCTCCTCTTTTTTGTTTTTAAATTATTTTTTACACCTTGACGATACAAGTCCTACTCCGATCGTACACCTTGTACCCTTGCATTGCAAGGGATCCCACGGTGTGAGCAGCACCAACGGGCACGCATGTATGTTATTGTTGTTATTGTTGTTGTTGTTGTTGTTGTTGTTGTTGTTGGTGTTGTTGGTGTTGTTGTTCGGAGCTGGTTCCCGCGAAAAAGAGGTGGAGGAAGAAGCGGAACGTCGCAGCCACGCGAGATCCGATAACACAAGATAGCCCGTCGTGATAAGATAGACAGCAACCGAGCCGGGAGCATGCTGACCCAAGGCGGCCGGTCCGCCGCCACCACCTCCTCCGCTTTTGTCTTCTCGTCTTCCTCGCGCTTCACGGGTGAGTATACTCATTTACCCACTACCATCGATTGTACAACTCACAAAGTTATAATTATTAAATTACTCGACCTATACTGTATAATGGTGTATATGGTATAGCTATTAGCTTAAATCCGAGTATCGGTATGATTGGGAATCAACCCTTTTTTAACGGAGTCGAGGTGTACTGTTGTTGTCATCAGTGTCTTGTCCCTTCAAGCTGATGGCCGTCGTGTTATATACCCACACGGTTCTTTATTATTATTATTATTATTATTATTATTATTATGTATTACACGTATATGTATAGGAAGCCGGGGCACGCTCTCCTCCCTTTGTCGAGGGATATGAGACTTCCTTGGTTGTTGGCCCCGGCCCATACGCATACACGTCCGTGGTGAATCTCCCGCCACCGTGTGAGGTGTTGCGTAGTTGGTACACCTACACCTACGTGTATATATATATATGTATGTATATATATATATATATGTACATTATATATATGTATATATATATATATAATGTACACACGAGCGACAGGGGGGGGGAGCGAGATAGAGCGCGTAAACGTGCCCGAGCGTCTTCCGCCCTATCTCTTCCCTCCTTGACGCGCTCCCTCAGACTTGTATTTTTATACCCCTAGCCGACACTGCCGAGGCAGAAAGTTACGTATACGATGAGCCGTTTTAACGGGATGTACCTATTGCTTTTCGCACCCTCGCTATACTATACAGCGCTACTCGTGTGTGTGTGTGTGTGTGTGTGTGCGTGTTACAGGTGTGTATACACCTAAGTGGGCGAGGGTAGAAACTTAGACTCGAGCCTCTCGAAAGTCCTTGGAATGGCCTCTCAATGAGGCTCCGCGTTGCACGCGTGACGTTGCCGTCGACCGTACGCGGGGATCATCTTTTTCTCCATCGCCGCCTCTCCTCTCCTATACCTGTAACTGCACGTAGAGGCTTTTTTTTTTTTTTTCCTCCCCGTGTAATCTTGTACGCCCCATTTACACGGATCCTATTATCCTGACCCCCCCCCCCTCTGCGAGTAACTTTTTTTCTTGCTTTCACGCGCGCCAACAACTACCGCGAGCCCTAAACGTATACCCATATACGTTGTTGTGTCAAATCAGAAATGAGCCAACTTTTCGATACTATGTATGTGTGAGGGGGGGGGGTGGACCAAAAAAACTATCAAGGAAATCCAAACAAATCTAGACGGCGCTACTATATACGTTGTTTATTTACACGGGCTGCGGTATAATTACATTTGGGGATTATAGCAGCGAAGTAGTTTAGCCCACGCATGTATATATGTATATATATATATACAACTCGGAGAGATATAAGCGGATTCCTGCGGGTGTGGATATATTGTATCAAGTGTTATTTATACGTATGTATATATGTATACATGCGTGCGTGTGTGTGTGTGTGTGTGTGTGTGTACATGGAGAGCGGCGAAAAAACAAACACCGAATAAAAGGGATGAAATGACTAAGCATAGACACCCGCCCCGAAAAACGTAATCCACGCGCGAGTCGCTTTTTATTTATCTTTCTCTCCCTAAAAGTTCAGTTTGGTCAAATTTTACGAAGGGGCGGGGGGGTTGGGCTCTTTCCACTTTGGCGGATAACGGCGAAATATATTGTAAGTACACACGGCTACGTACAAGTAGATATATAATGCATGCGAGTACGTGAGAAATGAAATGAAACGGAAGAAAATCCAAGATGTGTCATCCAGCCAACATATACGCGTTAACGGGTATAACATACATATACGAAGGAGCATCTTCCGGCGAGGGCGACGACGTGTGCAAACTTTTCAGCCGCGAGTAAATATTTATCTCGATCAAAGTATCGCAAACTCGATAACACTCGGATTGCCGCGCTGTATACGTATACGGACCGCGCGGTGGATTAAGGCGCACGCCTGCACGAGTGCAAGATACAAGGTGTAGAGAGAGAGAGAAAAAAAAAGAAAGAAGATCGTCGCCGAGTTTTCGCGCCCGCGAAGAGTGAAACTGCCCGTGATAACATCTCTCTCTTTTTTTTTTTTTTTTTTTTCTTGTTTTGCTTCCTCCATCTACTTACGTCCTTTTTGGTAGGTGTACTTTAATGGAGCAGCCGTGGTATCGGATAATAGTAACGGAAGGGAGAGGCATGGGGGTGAAAAAAAAGAGGACAGAGTCGCAGTGTACGAGTGTACACGGGAGGTAGAGGCGATTACACAGATATTACGGTGATGGAGGAAAAAGAAGAAGAAGAAGTGGCCAAAGGGACGTGACGAGCCTTCCCGACGGTACAAACATCCCTCAAAGCGTTTGTATGGGTGGGGGGGGGAGAGGGTGGAAATCACTTTTAGGTATACACCGCTGCGCTCACCGCCAGATGAGAGATAGAGAGAGGGAAGTTGGGAAAGTAAAGCCACTGCCGTCAACTATACGTTATATACACCCAACGCCAACTACTTCGAAAGATGATGAGGGGGTGGGGGAGGAGGAGGGTAGAGGGGCGTATATAAGACGGAATTTAGATGTTCGCGAGATAGAGATAGAGAAACTGCATTAACTCGGTTACTATGCTGCGGTACAACTGACGTACACCTATATACATGCATGTGTACATCCCACGCGGAACTCGACTATTCCGAGAATCCAGCCTACGTACACGCAAGCTCCTCTCGCGGTGTATATAATCGTGTATACAACCGGAGAAGTCGGTGAACGTGGTATATGTGTGTATATAATATATATAGGTACAGGTATTCGTGTAGAAGCTAGTATACCCGAGAGATGCAGATCGATGGAAAAGGCAGTGGCAGCGAAGATGGAGTTCTCCAAGCTCCCCTTCTACCAATTATCGCTTTTCTAATCCTCGTTCGTTGGGTAAGTCGCTTATATGTACTGCACGACTCGCACCCCCCGTCTTTTAGAACTTACAAGGATGCACACGCATACGCAGTCCCAGCAGGGGTATATTCAATTCCTCGGTGGGACCCGTGAAAATTCGATACACCAGCCCCGTCCCTCCTCAAATGTCACTTCCGCTCGTTTGCAGCGCGGCTCCAGGCAGGGGGACGCTGTCGACGTCTTCCCAGATAACAGCTACGCTGCAGCTGACGCCGACAATGCCAGTTACACTGTATATAGGCGATACGTCCAGATAACGTCGGCGGGGATACCATGTAACTGCACGTCAGGCGCGCGAGAGCGGACCCGCGGAGGAGAGGAGGGCAATAAGGAAAGATAAGATAAACGGAAGGGCTTGAGTTTGTTCGACACGTGAAAAGCTCGATTTTCCTCGCTCGGGCCTTTCGCGCCACCTCATTTTTGTACAACCTCGGATCTGCACTGTAAGAAGAAGAAGAAGAAGAAGAAGAAGAAGAAAGAGCGAGGGTTGGGGGGTGGTTGTGAAAGGAACAACAAGTTGCAGCAGCTATGTATACAGCAAATACCTATTTGCTCCCGGCTAATCTTTTTATCCGGTCGACGCGCAAGCACCACCCGGGACCAAAGGTGGAGGTGGAACGGCAATATCCTCCGGCTCTGGATGTTTGCCCCATCCTTCTCTCTTCCGCCGTGGACCCCCACCATCATCTTGTCGTCGTCGTACTCTCTCTCTCGACACCTCGTACTCGAGTTTTCTCTTTTCCTCTCTCTCTCTCTCGCTCGCTTGGCTCCGGATAAAAGCTCCCTGCAGCCAGTGACTACCTTCCACCGAGGCGCACTGGAGTCAGGGAAGGGAGCCATCGATCGACGAGCAGCGGCGTCGTCTTCGATCCCTTTCTCCGCTTCTTGGTCGGGAAACGTTTGTCGTCGTCTGATTCCGAATCGGTGCTTGTTACGTATGTATATTATCGATGCATACATATATACTTATATATATATATATATATATATTACCACATACTTGTGTACGTACATGCACGTACACGTATAGCTATACCGATGCTACGGGGCACGCGAGAATCGACCGAGACAGCTTCCTTGCGGCTGAGTGGCTCGCGAATCTCTCTCCCTCTTATACATGTAGCTCAGCTCTGCTCGACTCCTCGTCTCTCTGATGCATGGCAGGCGTTATCTATTGTACGTCTCTCGGCCTATACGTATACATGTACATGCGGAATGGATGATACACATATTTATATGTACACCTCTGTTGGAGCATCACACCCCCCCCCCAGAAATTTTGCATCCTCGTCTTCATCTTCGTCGGGTAAATCAAATGCAATCTTCTCTCGCGGGAACCCGGTTTCTGCAAGCTAGCGAAATTTCACGTCCATACGATGTGTATAATATTCGTATGCACCCTGCGCCGAAGTGTTTTTTTTAGTCCTTAGGAGGGGGTGGTGGTGGTGGTGGTGGCACTCGGGAAAATGTTATTGTCCTCCCATAAGCTATACGTGGCAGTGGTGTATAATACATACACAAATAGTAGGAGTGCCTATATGTATACGTATACCTCCTATACAGGGAGGAAGAGCGCGGTTTATCGGAGCGAGATTATATTCGATTGGCCGTGATTGCCGATGCCAACGTCGTCGTCGTCGTCTCGGAGCAGCCGGCATTCCAGTGCACGGAATATTTTTCCGGTATGCGGAGGGGGAGAGAAGGAGTTGCCAAGGAGAGTATGCCAAGAAGCCGAAAAGGATGGGTGGAGGGGAGGAAGAAAACGAGTCGATCGGCTCCACTCCCGCGGGCATCCCGCATGCCGTATACACACGCGTAGGCATTCCTTGGTTGGTTGGTTGCTAGTCGGCGTCGTCGTCGTCGTCGTCGTCGTCGTCTTCCGCGGCTGCAATGGTTGTGTATACACGTGCCTCCGATGACATATACCCTATACAAAGGCTCATCGTTGCTTCCGAGTGTGCCAACAAGCCGACGCGAAAGAATGCCATCACCGGGAATGCACAAACCCCCCTTTTCTCCTCTACCCTCCATAAGTACACACACACACACACACATATATATATCTATATACACGTGCACAAATTATGTCCATTGGGATCTAATTTATTTATTTTACATGATCCATTCGGGTGAATGACACCTGTGCCTATCTTTTTACTTTCCACATCGACATTTCATCGAATGATGATAAACACATGCTACGCACGTTAAGCGCGCTTATTATACAGGCTGTATACAAAGTGGCCGGGGTAACAGCTTAAGCGGAAAGGCAAGTAAGTAATATATACGTGTATAGGGATGGTGGTGTGTACAAGAAGGCAGGGGGGGGGAAGATACGTCTCTCTCTCGGTGCCGAGGACGATTAATTAAACACGGGCTGCTGCCACTCTGGTTGTATATGTGTATCCATTCACGTATATATAGGTAGGTGTATGACAATGGGGCGCGTGTCCTTACATTGCAGTACTTATAGCAGTGTGTATGTGTATAGGTACCGAGTACAGATGTATAGCAGCAATCTCGCGGTAGGTATACCAGCTTTTGAAAAAGACAACTATAGCAGAGTACTATAGGTATATTAGGGGGGGGGGCTGCATGCATTATGCACACATGCATGGGTACGGATCAAGCAACCAAGAGGTTTGGGTTGCACCGTACGTATCGTGCTACTATTAAGTCACACACAATACCTTACAGATGAGAGAGAGAGAGAGAGAGAGAGGGTGACGATGCAGGGGTGCAGGGAGTCTTGTGTATAATGGACCACATGCGACTACCCCTCACGGATCCCTTTCTCTCTCTCCCGCGATTACCGAGGCTAGACGTGCTGCTACTGCCTATTTCTCGATTGTAAGGATACGTATACGTATATACATGTATGTGTATGCACACGTGCATGCAGTAATGCACCAAACACGGAGAATATGCACAGACAGGAGGCACGCTGCTATGGTTGTTGAGCTACATCGTAACACACATGCACATACAGAGGGAACGCAAATCCGCTTGAGCTTGCATTTTTCGGCACATACAAATATCCATACCCTCCGAATGCGCTCCTTTTTCCTTTTTTTTTTTTCTTTTTTTTTTCCTTCATCGTCTAGTGCAGAAGCGCACTACAGATATCTATTTGCCACCGTGAGCTCGTGGGGTCCAAGCCCGTGTGCCGTGTGCACATCTCCCCACTTGCAAATGGAAAAAAAAAAAACCATTCCCTTCTTTTTCTCGAGATGCAAATACCTCCTAGTTTTCTCCACTTCTTTGCATTTTCCTCTATATACCTATACCGTGATTCTGGGCTCTCTTCTTCTTCTTCTCTTTTCCATCATCTACATACACGGTGTATAGGGGGAGAAAAAATCTCGTGCCCGCGGGTTATCCACAGAATCCCCGGAGAGAGACAATATACAGGTACACACTTAATTGCAGCTCACGATTAAGTACGCCTACACTTCCCCTTTCCTTTGCACGCACTCCCGATACGAACAAAAATATTACGTTTACGATGGAACGAACGTATAAATATGTACATGTGCATTGCGAGAAGGAAAGTATAATATACATATAGGCATTTGCATCGTACGGGATTTCCGCGTGTATACATGCACCTGCTCGTTTTTTTTTTCTTCAATTTAACGCAGAGCTGAGCACTCCGATTGATCCACATTGGAACAGCATCGGGTTGCACGGTTATGCCACACTCTTCTTTTTCTCACTTTTTACCGCACGTGTCATTTTTCGGCTATCGGACGAGCTGCCGACCACCGACCGGGAACATTCTTTTCTTTTTTTCTTTTTTTTTTTTTGTTCTCCAATAACCTTCCTCCTCACCCTGACTTTTGTACCAAATGTGTACACATATACGTAGTGGCCATCGCGTCCCATCCGGGCGTTTGTCCAGTGACCCGAATGAACGCCGAGTCAATCGAAAGCAGCGCGTGTGTGGGTGGCATTGTTGCTCGCTTCCCCACCTCTTTCGCGGGATATGCTACCGTACCCGCGTGCACCTACACCATATACCCCTTGATAATATTATAAAGAAGAGCTCAGCTGTTTCACGATGATGGTGTGTACCTTACGCGCCAGCCCCCTGCTCCACGAAAGTATATACTCGGTATACAAATAATAATTTAGCCGCCGCTCTTCTCTACTCCCTCTTCCTTCTGTTCGGTGTGCACCTGGTGTAGTTTTCAAGGTTTTTACCTCACATAAAAATCACGCGCTACAACGCTTTCCTGATTTTTTTTTTTTTTTCTTTTTTCAAATCACCTCTCTCTCTCTCTCTCTCTCTCTCTCTCCACCTGCCTATACCTTTGTTGGATAAACCATGTCTTTTATCTCCCTAAAACAAACGACTCGATTTTTAAAAGTTTTTTCAACCCTTTGTTCGAAGAAAAAAAAAAAGAAAAAAAATGGTTTGCAACAGTGGAATCGAAAGGTACGATCCTTTGTATACGAAAGCACAACAGCAGCACTGTTACGCGACCCAAGGGAGAGCAAAAAAAAAAAAGGAGCGCGTATCATGCGGTATGTATGCGAGGAGGAAGAGGCACGCCCAAATGTAACATGGCTGAGCCTTTTGTCTCCGAGAGAGGACTAATGAAAAATGAATGAAGCGCTCGAAGTCAATGTCCCTCTTTCCCTCGTTAACTTTTAGCGTGGAACGGGAAATCTTGAAGAGGAGCCGACGGTCCGGAAGACGTCAAAGGAGAGAGCCAAGGACCCCGAGAGCGGAAGCCAAAGGAGAGCCAGCTTCCGATGGAAGGGGAAGGGGATGAGGGGGAGGAAAAAAGTTGGGCGCGCAAAAGAAGGAAGGGAAGTATATAAGGATGAGCTGCCGCGGCCGTGACGTATAATGTATTCTCGCGAGCTCGGTAGGTGGAAAAATGGCTCGAGAGGGCGCGTCAGCTTTTTCGTCCGCTCGACTGCACACCTGCATAACCCGCGTGCATCTTATGGTATAGCCGATCGCGCGTATACCTAGTACACCTCAGATGCAGCTCCATACAATATGCCTCCATCTCGCGACCGAGTATGAAGTACACCACACATACGTATACCTATGTAGCATATAAACGAGGGGAGGAGGGAGAGAGGGAGGGAGGAAAGAGCTTTTCCCGCGTGTAGGGTCCTTCCCCTCTTTCTCCACTCGTTCGTATAGGTACATACGTGTCTTTTTGGTCAATCATCTCCATCCTCCTCTTCCTGCACCGCTACATTCCAATCCCTGATGGTACACACTACGAGCGCAAGCGTATATCGTATATATACGAAACATTGAATGAGCTTATACGTAGGTATACAGAGGGTTAAAAGAGGTGACGGAGGGACGTGGTATAGTGACCATATTTGCCCAGCGCTATATGTCGCTGCACTATATATATATATATGAAGCCGATAGTGCCCGTGTTCAATTCGACACCCCCCCATATAACAGCGGCAGCAGCAGTTATTATTAAAGGGAATCAGCTACTACGTGCACGTAATGCGTGTGTGTTCGAATGGTCGGGTCATCAAACTGTAGGTCATGCAGCGTTGGGTGTGAGTATATAGGGATGACGCAGCCCCTCTCTCTCTCTCTCTCTTCCGCTGCTCGATTAATTTCAACGCCTGCATCATCGTCATCATCACCTACTGCGATGCACGGGGCACTGTACATCGCAACCCCCATACCCCCCCCCCTCTCTCTCTCTCTCTCTCTCTCGCTTTGCCGTAAATGCCACACTCAATCTGCTATACTCTGCTGCAATTCACCGATAAAGCTCAGCTGATCCGTTATACACATATCTATATTCGATATCTGCCTGCGCGTAATACACCTATACTTATTGTACAGAACAGCTACATACGCTCCAATTGACGCCTTGTATATAATTAATATTCCTCTTTGCCCATCTGTATCACAAAACTTCGAATATGTATCTCGGGCTGATAGCCATTATACCTGTATGATCATAAAATTGCCCTTGTGTATGTTTGACGCGACACTTGTACATTACACGAAGGAGCGGATACAATGGATGGGCTCTGCATAGACCATGCGCGTGGAGGCCGGTGCAATTTGGTGGGGAGGATCGAAAAAAAAGAGAAATAAAGAAAATGCAACAAAAGGGTTGCTGCTTTGTATATAAATGTCACAGAGAAGGAAGGGGACAAGTGCCAAGGACGAACCTAATGAAAACATTCGCTCGGGCTTTCGTCGTCGTTATTATTCCGCGAGTACAATATCCGAGAGCCAAGAGAGAGAGAGAGAGGAAGGGGGGAGGGGTAGATGGAGGGAAAAAAGGGGGTAAAAGGAGAGGTATAAATGAAAGAAAAGCTAGGAGACGGACGGAGATTATGATGTGCGTTGTGAAAGGAGGGTCTCTGGGAGAGAAGGTGTATATATGTATATATGCCATTCTTTGCGTAATAGCCTAGCCCGCGGTAGTACCAGCCGAGAGACGAACGGACGTGACGAGGGAGGCTGCTGACGAGCATCGGAGTCCGTGAGTCCCTGGCACGCGCTAATGTACCTATATATACACAACGAGATGGACGGCGATGTGCCGGAGCTAAACGGTGATGGTGATGTGTGTATATATATACCACGTACACATAGTGTGCACCTATTAGGTACGAAAAACTCGGAGGAGGACAAAAATGAGGGAAGGACAGAGAAAGAGAAATGTATACATATATGTATGTCAGACTACTGCCCCGGGGAGGAAGAGAGCGCTTGCTGATGTTGAATCGCGACGATGAGAAGAGCATCAGCCAGCAACTTTGCTCTGACAGACGGATGAAAGGACGACGATGAGGATGAGGAGTGCATGTATATGTATACGTAATACAGCGCAGCGGTGGTCAGACGAAGGGTGAAATGGCACAGAGGAGGAGGATAGCCAAGGGAGAGAGAGAGAGGTGGTGACACGGCAAAGGTGAAGCACATACATACATATATATACAAGGGCACAAAGCGAGCATCGCGTCGTTTCTCGTCTGCGACGAGTTTGCCGTGTGCTGCAGTCTCTTCTTTTATCGTCTCCCGAGATTGCTGCTAAATTTTTCGCCCTTCCCCATCTACGAGTACAATGAACTACTCCTCCTCCTCCTCCTCCTCTTCATCTTTTTTTTTTCCTCCTTCTTCTTCCATCCTCTGAGACGTCGTTCATCCAGGCGGTAGAAGGTTCGAGTGCATGCACCACGAACGAGCACTGCTAAGGGCCGATGTCTGGGTCCAAAAGTATAAAGTAAAGCTCTTTGCTGCTATATTTCCTTCTTCTCTCGTCTCCTCCTCATACGTCCTGTATCCACTCTTGATTCATTCTCCTTGGCTGAGCACGTGGCATCTCTCGAAGCCTCTCGAGATGTGTACATACATATACAAGTGCACGTGTACGCATACATACATATATATATATATATTTGCGCGATGTAAGGGCTGGGCAGCATAATCGACCGGTTGCTGTGGACTATACCGTGTGTAATATATGGGCAGGGAGCTAAGAGGCGATGATGATGATGCTGTACTCGTCCCCCTTCCTCCCGTTGCCACCACTACCTTGGGGAAATCTCCTCGAGTCTTCCTCCTTTGCTGGGCGTATACGTTGTGTGCGTGTGTCTATTAACTTGTTGGCAAACAGTGATACATTACATGCACACACACGCACACACAGCGAGTAAGCCATTTTTTAACTGTTCGGAGATTACTTGCAAGTAAACGTATTAAAGTCAATTTCGAGGGACGGGTGAAACATATATTGGCATCGTTTGTTCTCGCAGTCACCACGCGCTGGTGCGAAAAGAAATCTTAAAAAAAAAAAACATACAGAGGTAATTTCCGGTATATCTGCCTTTTAAATGTAAGTCCTCGAGACATTTAGACCGTTTTTATTATTATTATTATTGTATTACACATGTTTTGCTTGGATTTTAACTTGGCGAATGTTTCCCGCAATAAACATGTTGATAAAGCCGAATATATTATGTTCATCCTTTTTTTCACCTGTATAATATTAATTACCGATTACGAATTATTATAAATTTAATTTACCTTCGCAATCAAGGGTTTGCATAATAACATATCCCTGAAAATTATCACGTCAGCAGTTAAATATACGTGTACTATTGCACGATAGCGCGCGCCAATAATAATAGAACAGGGAAAGTGTACACCGCTGTATACAGATACACTCGACATGTGTATAATATAATGTATAATATTATTCACGCGTACGCGTCTAGAAGCCGATTCGCGCCAATACGCGAGCTTGATTGACGCTGATTGTACGGCCATTGTTCGGGTGCTCTAAACTCTCGAGAGCCGGCCAATTCAGCGACCCTCGAGATGTAGCACCAGTGGCGGCCACATTCATGTGTATATGCACACGGCGTAAGGATAAATGCAAACTCCATGTGTCGTGCGCGGGCATTTATGTGCGTATGGATGTATATATACTTATGTATACCTTGCCTTGCTTCGCTCTCCATCAAAGGGCGATGAAAGGCCCCTTTAAGCGACCGTGCACTCTCCACCCTGTGACGTACCCTACATACATTACATATACATATATCGATGGGCCGAAACTTATATATTTTACTTGCTTCGCGTCAAAAAATACGTATACAATCGCATGGCTCTCGGCATGATCCACGTGTATCAAATAAGTATTCGTACCCTCCAACCCTCTGCTCCACAAATGGATTTACATGATATAGCACCTCTCGGTGCACACTCATCGATAAATTATATGCAATACGCAGGTATACTATCCCCCGATGCATCGGCTACATCCAACTGCATCTGTTAATATTATAATGCCCATACTCCCACCTCTGCCGAATTAGGGAGGGAGCCCAGCTGACTAAACGTTATACAATAGGGGGTGGGGGGATGAAAGGGGATCAGAGAGGCACGCCCCCGCAATTTTGCGTTCGTTTGTACAAGATTGATTGCACATATTTACGTATATACCTATAACGACTATTCGGTGTATGGCTCTCTGCACCTGCATGTACATGTAAGCCCGTGCAGGTGGCTTTGAAACTCCGAGGATTTTGTACTGCGGGTCCATTAAATTTGTACCTTCCCGGGAGCTTACGCTATAACGGATGTTTGTCACTCTACACAAGTACACCAGTAAATGCTGTTTTTCTACTTTCCCTCCAGCTTTTACAAGAGTATCATTTCACTTTGATCGTCTTTATCGTTTTTTTTTTTTTCTCTCTCTCTCTTTTGGTTATTTGAAACGACAAAACTCGTCGTCGTGTACATCGAATCGCGTATATACGCGTATTTATAGAGCACATCTGAAAAATTGATGAAGAATCACGCGACGATTCCACGTGGATCAATACTTTTAGGCGGAGTCGGGTGAGGTGTGTAATAATAAACTCGAGAGTATACTGCAGTGGGAGGGACGAAAAGACAGAATCAATAATTCCGTAATGAGACCCACAAAATCCATTTTCATCTCAATTTTTACTTGTGTATGCAGAGAAGAAGAAGAAAAAAAAAAAACATTACCTTTACCTCGCGGTACTCCCAAGGTCTTTGTTGTTGCGACTTTTATTGTAAATTGAAAAAACATAATGTTATATCCACAAGAGGGAAAACCAACTCGCGGCTGGAGCCGAAAAGACACACGGGTCGGGGAATCGGGAGGGGCGAAAATTAATAAAGTATAATAATATTTGCCGAGCCAGTGTGTAAACGGGCAGCCCTTGCGCAAAGTTGGCAAAGATAAATGTTGGTACAGAGCGCGAGGGGGGAGGGGGAGAGAATGGAGCAAGTTTTCCCCGCAAAAGAAATTAAAAGGGAAGAAGGAAGAGTAATAGGAAAAGTTGTCAATTTAAGTTTCGCCGTAAATGCACTCTCTTCTCTGCCCTTCCTTTTTTTTTTTTTTTTTTTTTTCACGCGCCATGAGAGAGTTGGTCGAGGAGGCGCATTTAGTTTGATACAGAGTCGAATCTTGGGACAACACGTGGAGAGAGAGAGAGAGTCTGACTTTAAAAGTAGAAAAAAAAACACACCCCCCTCGCATTGCGCGGAAGAAAAGGGGGGGCCGAATATACACTGCCCGTGTAAGTTTTCCAAGTTTTTCAAACATCCCGAGGGTGGAAAACTTTTCCCAGATGGGTACTTGTTGCCCGTGTATACCTACGTACATACCTATATATAGCAGCGAGCGTCGCACGAATTGGCCATTTGCATCCCGTGTTTCTTTCTACGTGGGCCGCGCATAAGGTCCATTATTTTGTTAAACTTGTTGCGCCGCTGTTCCCCGGATGCTGCGCATAAGTATGTACACACATACATATATTTACGTGTATACCCCCGAGCGAAATGACGGAGAGCTTCTCCCTCCCGACGACAAAACGAGACGTACCTTTTACAAGATGGTTATATGTATATATATGTATGCACATAATCGCACATAGCCTTCGGCAACGCTGACTGCGCCATAGCGGGACATTTCTCATCGGCGTCTTACGTATACTTACAGTAGTCGCGCGGACGACAGTCGCGTACCTCATTTTACTTGTTGCTTGGGTACTTTGCTCCGCTACTTTCTGAAGCCTGATGTATGTACGAATGTGCATGTACAAATAAGGAGAAATGGAGCGACAACAATATATCATCTGGCTCATCCAGGGGAGAGAGTTACAGCAGCTCGTTGGAGCTAAAAATTAGAGTCTTTGAAGTAACGGATGTTGATACATGTGGGTAAAGGAACAAAAAATCAACATTTTTGACGTAATGGGCATTGTCGTGACGTTGCATGTAAAACGTATAAATTATATTAATTTTTTTTTTTTTTTTTTCATCGCTATAAAAACCGATATTTTTCCGAGTTGAAAGGGAATTTTATAACTAGAATGAACAGGGTAATATTTATTCGTTGTTATTGAAATTTAAATTTTATTTCCATACAGGAAAACGAAAAACTGCAGTTACGGCTCTATCTTGAGCATTTGCCTTTACGGTACGGTAATGCCCATATCAATCGTTCGCCAAACCAAACTCGTCTCGTGTGATAAAAAATACGATCGTTCTCGAGTAGAGGAGAGAATATTTCACACTTGAGCGGTAGACATATATATTTTGGCCAATGCAAGAAAAGAAAAAAAACCGTGAGAATAAATGGCACTTTCATCGAAATAGAGTTTTTCCCACTTTGGGCGAATTTTTTTTTCTTTTACCTTGGGACGTTTACTGCGCCCTCGGTAAAGTTCGCACCTATGGTGCACGTAGGAATTTACGCCGAACAGAGAGCGTTACCGCTCTTGCCCCCCTACTTTTTTGTTCACTCGGTCGATGAAAAAGGCTATAGTGCAACGAAGCACTAAAAATTTCTTCTCACCACAATATAAATATGATTATGATAATATACTACGAGACGCAAGAGACACAAATAAGTTGATGTATTTGTTTGGTTGTTTGTTTGCCGGTCCGATGGACGCAATGGCCAGGCGTGCCCCTGCTCCTGTTGCTGTTGGCCCTGTTGCCGGTGCGCCCGGGCCGGGGCCACGGTTTCGACGCCCACCTCCGTGGGCCGAGTTTCCTCATCGAGCCGGCCTCGAGGGTCGAGTTCTCAAACTCGAGCGGCGCGTGGCTGGACTGCGCCGCCACTGGCAGCCCACCGCCCAACATCGACTGGTCGACGGCGGACGGGCTACCCGCGGGCGACGTGCCCGGCATCAGGCGGCTCCTCAAAAATGGCACCCTCGTGCTGCTGCCCTTTCCAGCCGCCGCCTACAGACAGGACGTACACAGCGCTACCTACAGGTGCGTCGCCAGCAACTCGGTCGGCCGGGTGCTCAGTCGCGACGTACAAGTCAGAGCAGGTCAGCACTTACACCCAATACTTACCCAATATACAATATATATATTTTTACACGACCAACACACGAGATGGGTGTATTTATATATATATCACTTGTTGGCTTGTCGCAGTGGTCGCCCAAGCGTACAAGGTGGACGTCGAGGTGATCGGAGGTGCCTCGCGGGGCTGCACGGCCGTGCTGCGCTGCGTCGTCCCGAGCTTCGTCAAGGACCTCGTCCGGGTCGTCTCGTGGCTCCAGGAGCCCGCTTTCTACATCTACCCCTCGCTCCAGGGAGGTAAGAACACAACGCCCACCCCACCCCCCTCTCTCTCACACAGTGCAAGCACAGCTTCATTTCGTTTCTCTCGTGCGTATATATGTACCACTGCGCGGACATAACATACACGCGCTACGCGTTGGCTCGACAAGATTGTTGTTCACCGGCCTTGTACGGGTGTACGGAGAGAATCGTGGCAATGGGAGGGGGTGGGTATCGCGAGGAGCATTGAACTTTCATGATGAAGACGGGGGCGGAGAGCGCGGTGCACCGTATATATATATATATATACGTATGCGTTAACAGCTCCATTTTCACTTATTTTGCCCATTC